CTATGCATGTCCTCCTGACTGTCTCCTTGAATTGGTCTGAAGTGAGCACTTCATCTGCTTGTCCTGGATGCAACTGCGTCTCACGCTGAAATGCTGCAACGTTTTCAGCGAATTACAACCGGAACGTCTATGCAAGGGTACTGGCACCCCTGGCATTGGTAGGCTGACAGATGTACAACTTCACGTTTACAACTTGAGCGATGAATGCGTGTATTGTCAGGTGTACGGTCAGCTGCTGAATGTTTCCGATTTCCTCCTATTACTGCGCCGTAATCGGCGTTCCTTTTCTCCCCAGATCTGCAGCTCGTCTACATCAGGCATGTTCCCGTCGGATACTGTCGGTGTGAACCGGCTATGAGAAGATCGCGTGCCACGGGCCCCGACTATATACAGTAAAAAGACCGTGCGCGACGCATTCACCCTTTCCAGCCCCTGCGAGCCTGAGGAGAGTTTGACATCGACTGTATTGCGACAGGTGTGGTACCACAGCTGCAGAGCTCCAACGAACTACCAGGACAGAACCAACTTGGGGTGCTAGCGATCTAACCGTACCAGGCCACCGCAACCATGTCGAGGCCTACCGAAGCAGCAGCGTCGCTGCCCGCCAATCCGCCCGCTGATGTCGCACCGCTGAAAAAGAAGCAGCCATACCCGTTCTGGCTTGGAGGTGCGTAGCGTTCATCCAGAAAGCACAGCCATCGTGTGGCTTGTGGGCTTCGACCGACTCTAACGATCGAGCGCGATCTAATCTCCACTATGTCCGCGTCCAGGTGTCGCCGCGACCATCGCCGCATCCATAACGCAGTATGTAATCTCTCTTCTGTCGTGCGCCATGACATCGGGAGCTGATGCACTTATCCGGCGTATCACAGCCCGCTGGATTTGACGAAGGTGCGGCTACAGGCCACGGACGACAAGAGGATGATCGAGTCTATACGCAAGACTGTGCGCACCGCTGGTGTACGCGGACTCTTCGACGGCATCACCGGGACATGGCTTCGCCAAATGTCGTATTCGCTCTGTCGATTCTGGGCCTACGACGAGAGCAAGAAGATTGTTGGGGCAGGTGAGTAACCCACGCATCGGGAATGGCATCAGGATGAACATGACCGCTGTTCACAGGCCCGAACGCCCCAGCGTGGAAGTTGGCGCTTGCAGGAAGCATGGGTGCGGACACAGAAGCGTTGTCCCTTGCGGTGCATTTACATGTGTCTATGTAGCGGGTGGTATTGCGGGCCTCGTCGGTAATCCTGGAGGTAAGTGAATTTTACCTTAATCTGCCTTCGATCGCTGAGTTTGCGATTCGTGCAGAGATCCTCATGGTACGTGGTGCTTCCCATCCGTGTCACTAGAAGTCGCTTTGACGCGCGTGTGGACTCAGGTCCGACTTCAAGGTGACCTGGCCAAGCCACCAGAGAAGCAGCTGGGGTACAAGAACGCCATTGACGGACTCATCCGCGTGCGTTGCCCCATGATTGCACCGTTTCGGAAATGCTAAGGCGTCGAACGCTGCCATATAGATGGTCCGGGAGGAGGGATGGTCGTCTCTGGGACGAGGAGTGGGCCCCAACGTTTTCCGTGCTATATTGATGAACGCGAGTCAGCTGGCTTCGTAAGCGCTCCAACCTTGTCTCGAGCCAGAGCGTTGACTCTTTCGGTATATAGCTACGACTTCTTCAAGGCTGAGCTGCTCAAAACCGCGTACTTTGAGGACAACATCAATGTCCACGTCACGGCTAGCTTTGCTGCGGTACGCACTACACCATTGTCGTTGAGTTTCTTCCTCACAGCACTGCGGCGTAGGGTACGGTAGCAACTACAGTGTGCTCACCTGCCGACGTTATCAAGGTATATTTTAATATCGAATCATTGCGTGAGCAACGCTGATCCTCACTCTTCCCTATCAGAGCCGCATTATGAGCGCGTCGGGCAAGGATGCCTCGGTTGGTCATTCCTCCTCCGCCTTCTGAGTCACGCCGTCGGACTGATATACGATCGCGCCTCAGTCGACGCTGCAAGTGATCAAGACGTCCTTTAGAAATGAGGGGCCGATGTTCATGTTCAGAGGCTGGGTCCCAGCGTGGACCCGTCTGCAGCCGACGACGATTCTGATCTTTGTTACCCTCGAACAGCTGAGAAATACGGTGGACTGGTATCGCTCCTTCAGGGAGCAGTAATGTTGGATCTTGCCTAGAACGGGGCTTGACGTTGAACGATTTGTACGGTGTGTGGGCTCTCTTTACCTTCTTACCGAGCGTACTAGTAGTGCTCGATGTCATTGTTGTAAACTTAGTTGTTGTAAATCAGTGCACTTTCAACTGTATTTCCTTGAAACAACCAATACTTCTCCACCGCGAGAGAGGAGGAGGAGGAGGAGGAGGAGGAGGAGGAGGAATCCTACTATTACTAGCTAGCCACCAGTGCTACATGTGTCACGGTCACGGTGACATCCGGGGCTCCGGAGTACTGCCGCGGGAGGAGACACTGATTTAGCGCCCTCTGCAATTTACTCGCTACATGTTTACACGGCAACACGTCTACTCCCTCCATCCCTCGTCATGTGCCCCTCTGAGTTGTGCTTCTGAAGAACCGCATTACGGCGACCTATCAGGGTCGCATAGAGGATGAGCAGCGACTTCGAGCCTGAGTCTCGGTGGCCGAACTTCCACTTATCTCACCGCGTTTCCCGTCTATTGCGCTCATTCAGGCGCGACAACAAACCTTCACCACCCGTGGATTACAGCTACTACGAGTTAAGTGGTCTTGACGAGCAGCACAATGCCGAACCTCCTACGGACGAAGAGCGAGAAATGTTGCGGAGAGTGGCTGATGTGGTACCGTGGAACGCGTTTCGTGAGTCTCATTACGTCTTCAAGTTGTCCGCCAATGGTGATGATATCTCTCGCCTCTAAGTGATAGCCTTCGTTGAACTCGCGGAGCGCTTCTCCTACTACGGTACCACCGTGGTGTTTGTGAGTCACATTCAGGGCGTTATTCCCAGGGCAGAGCACGCACTGAGCAGCATGACAGACTAACTTCATCCAACAACCGCTTCCTCCGGGGTCACGCACAGGTGCTGGCTATGTCAATGAGCAATCTGGGGCCCTTGGCCTGGGACAGCGCGCCTCCACCGCCATCGGACTGCTCAACACGTTTTGGTATGCGAACTGCATCGTTCTGGAATACACGGGATTGATATTGAGGACTCCAGGATCTATTTTATGCCTCTTCTTGGTGCATACGTAGCAGACACGCGATGGGGACGATTCAAGACGATCTGCGTTGCTGTTGGCATCGCTCTCTTGGGTCATGCCGTTCTTGTTGTCGCCGGGCTTCCCAGAATACTCGAGCATACGAGCACAGCGTTGACCTACTTCCTCGTCGCTTTGGTTATTATGGGTGTCGGGACGGGCGGGTTCAAGTCGAACATCTCCCCATTAGTCGCGGAGCAGTATACGAAGACGAAGATGACTGTTGCCACAGCTGCTCACGGAGAGCGTGTCATCATAGACCCTGCCATGACAACAGCTAGGATATACATGGTTGGGCTCTCCGCCCAGACGTTTTCTAGTTTGCTGATGATGACACGCAGTACTTCTATTTATTCATCAATATCGGGGCATTGTTCGGACAGATTCTCATGACTTTCTCGGAAAAGGTGTGAGAGATAATAAGGACGTACGCTGGAGATGAGTCTAACTGCCATCTCAGTATGTTGGCTATTGGCTCGCTTTCCTGCTACCGACGCTCGGCTTTCTGCTCTGCCCTCTTGTCCTGTTCGTCGGGCGCAATCGCTACGTCCGCTCTCCCCCGTCGGGTTCGATGCTCGGTACCGTCTATCACATGTTCCGTCACTGCATGCGCGGAAAGTGGTCGCTTAGCCCTGTGGCAACCTACAGAAAGATGACAACGCACGACTTCTGGGACAGTGCGACACCTAGTGCTCTCCCTCCCGATGCAAGGGGGCCAGAATGGATGATCTATGATGACAGTTTCGTAGACGAGGTCATCAGGGGTGTGCAGGCATGCAAGGTGTTCCTGTGGTATCCAGTTTTCCGTATGTACCATTACTTCTCATCGCCCTGCAATGCTGCTGAGCTGACGCCTATCGGCCCAGACCTCACGATGAACCAGATGAACAGCAACCTCATCTCACAAGCAGCAACAATGGAAACGCACGGCTTGCCCAATGACATACTCTCGAATCTCGATCCGCTCTCGCTCATAATCCTCATTCCTTTGTTTGACTACTTCATCTATCCATTCTTTCAGCGCCGCCGCATGCGCCTCACCCCATTGCGCAGAATCACCGCCGGCTTCTTTGTGGCTTCGCTAGGGATGGCGTACACCGCGTTTGTGCAGCATCGCATCTACGCCACGAACCCCTGCGGAGAATACGTCTCTACCTGCGCGGATGATAATGGCCGGAGACTCACGAGCAGTGTGAGCGTCTGGATGCAGACGGGGAGCTACGTCCTCATCAGCATCAGCGAGGTGCTTGCCAGTGTCACAGGTCTCGAGTATGCGTATACGAAGGCGCCGAAAGGCATGCGGAGCCTAGTCATGTCGGTCTTCATGTTCATGAGCGCCATCGCAAGTGTGGTGGGCGAGCTGTTTGTCGGTAGGTATTCCCCTAGTATCCCAGAGAGCTGGTTGTCTCATACCTTCTCCCTTGCAGCCCTCTCCGCGGATCCACTACTGGTATGGAACTACGCAATCTTGAGTGTTCTAGCCACAGTGGCTGGTGTACTGTTCTGGCGACAGTTTCACGACTTGGATGCTCGCGAGGATGAGCTCAATGGCATAGGAAGTGCCCGACTCCTTTCTTCGGACCACGAGGGTTGACATTGTACATACCGTATACTACACAGGATGCACCTCCTTCCTTCTCTTATGTAGACTAAGGCATAACTCAGGTGCCCTCGTTCAGTGGAAGTTACGGATATTGTGACATTTTACACCAACCGTCTATACCAAACTATGGAAGGCTGACAACATGGCCTTCGATAGCTCAGTTGGAAGAGCGTGAGACTGTAATGGATACCAAATCATCTCAAGGTCACTGGTTCGATCCCGGTTCGAAGGATGTTCTTTTGCTTGACGCAACTTCTCACCGCTTTCTAAGCTTCTTGCTTGTCCCAGACTCCATCCGTGTCTGAGATACGACTCGAGAGCGAAGTGCAACTTCCACCCCTGGACCCATCATATTTCTATCCGAGCAAGCCAGAACTCGCATTTCTGCGCCGAGCAATATCAACGGATGATGAAGAGATACGGGAAAGAATCATGGAGGTACAGAAAGAGTGAGTATGACGAATCACGATCCCCTGTGCTGCCATTACTCACCAGATACCAAATGATTGTTGACTGGGGCTCTACAGTGCCTAGTACGCATGCCCACATAGTGGCCCGCACTCGGGTGATGCAAATTACTACACCAGTGCGAAGTATCCATATCCATGCATACTAGGATTCCATCATGTCGCCCTCATGATGTCTGAAAACCCAATCTACCAGTCGGTTCTGGACAGCGGGAAAGCGGGGGGAACACTATTCCTCGACGTAGGGTGTTGTAGTACGTCGTGTCCATTCTCCGCGTCTGCCAGGCTCGTTCTCGTGCTGATTGCGGCCGCGAGCACTTCTAGTGGGCACTGACGTGCGCAAGCTAGTCTACGATGGGTACCCCGCGTCGTCCGTCCTTGGATGTGATGTACGACATGACTACATCGACCTCGGGTACAAACTCTACCGCGACGAGGACATCTCTCAAATCCGCTTCTTCACTTCTGACATCTTTGACGTCCTGCCATCGTTCACTACTGCAACTGAGGCAGGTCATGACACGAAGATCACGTCGCTATCACAGATGTTAGGCTCGCTGACGCACATCTACATCGGTGCAGTCTTCCACCTGTTCGATGAGTCTACCCAGTACGCCATCGCCTTGCGACTCGCCGCACTGCTGAAGCGGGTGCCTGGGGCGGTTATCTTCGGGAGGCATCAAGGGCTAGCACAGGAGGGGATGATCGACGACCCTCTAGGCAGGTAAGTAAGTTTGGGCAACAGCCATAGGAGCGGTATATGCAAGATCTCACTCACTACACGTTGGTTGATGAAGGGCGCGTTTTGATCACTCGGAGCATTCTTGGCCACTCATGTGGAAGAGGGTGTTCACGGAGGCGGAAGGGGCAGAGTTTGCAGAAAATAGGGTCAAGGTGGAGGCGAGGCTGTCAGACACGATCTGGCAGCGCGTCATTGGCGAGAAACGTCGAGGAAGCATGCTTGTTTGGAGCGTGTACGTTGTATGAGTACTGCAAGCATGCATCAAACCACAACTTGGCCAAATGCAGCTGTCACGATGATCTATGAGCTACTGATGTCCCTCCTGCGAGGCAGCCACCACCATCCAATAGCGGCAGTCCACCCAGGACAAGATGGTTTCGTCTGGCCTACGCTATGACCCAAAACAACATTCTCGACGCGATGCCACCAGCCTTTCGGGATAAACAGTGTTTCGCCTTCCTGTAAAACGCAGCTATAGCCTAGCTGGGATATCGCATCCACAGACCTTGAGGGCGTGCCCGGATCCGCGATGATATTGAGGTTGTCCCCGTGCTGTGAAGGGCTGAGCGACAGGTTGATTGAGGATGTGTTCTGTAGCGCATGGTGCCCATCGACCCGCATCACAAATTCTCTCGCGTGTGGGGGGAGGAGGAATACGTGTTTTGCATAGCGTGCTGGCTCCGAGGAGGCGTACACTTGGTATAGATTGAAATAAGGGTCGTAATGGAGAGGGGTAACCTGACAACTTACATTGAACGAGAGTGAGCTAGGAAAGTGAGAGGTAGCGTACCGCGCCTGCAGGTCCAATGAAGAAGCTTGTTTGGTACAAATCGATACAAGCATTATCGTTCTGCATGAGGGGTGCAAGGAGGGTGGGCGGTCGAATGATATCTGCTAGGCTCTGTATCTGTCCGTTTCGTGAAATGTTAGTACTACTACAGCGAAAGCTTGATTGAAGAGTAGTGAAGGCTCACGTCATCGCTCGCCCGCCATTGCGCGAGGTACAACTGTCGTCCACTAACTTTGCCTCCAATCGACTCGTCGCTTTCTAACCAATCAAGGTAATGGCCGAGTCGCATGCTGATTTTTTCGAAGGACCCCGCAACAACTTCATCGTAACAACCCATTTCGACTTCGATGATTCTATCTTCTGCATCCCGCAAGCGGCTCAGTAGCTCATTTGCCATCGATTCGTCCGCCCGCGCTGGTGACCGGATGCGTAGTGGAACAGCCCGAGACGACTGAGCATACTCGTAGAACTCGGAAGGATCTCCAGTCAGTACATCCTGAACAGGCCGAGGAGATATGCAGTGGCTTCGATTCGGATGATTCGCCGCCTGGGAGTGTATGAATGCGAACGGCCGTCGCAGATCCCCTCGACGCTTCAATCCAGAGAACATAGTTGTCTGACAGTGTACGGTTCGTTCCACCCCCGAGGCAATTTGTCTTTGTCGCTATGAGGACGTGATCCCGGATATTGAGGAGATCCTGAGTAGTATATACCGACGGGCGCAACATAGCCGTGAACGCGAACGAGGATGCAAGGGTTTGCCACAGGCTGAAAATTATGTTCGGGGCGGGCCGAGCTTGCGAGGCTTGCCGCGGCATCCGCCCGAGCGAAGCAAACTTCGCATGTGCATGGGCGCCTACGAGAGGGGCCCTCCTTCCTTTCGACACCCACATCCTCGCCTCGTCGCCAACAGGTGTCCGCCTCGTCCTACCTTTCTATCGTATTTTCTCGCCCTCCCTCCACTCCCTCTCATACATTTCCTTTCGTACTTGTTGCGGTTGCGAGCTTTGTTGCGAGCTCGATATGAATTGTCGGTTACTAGCTCGTAATAGTGTTGTCTTACATTGTATTCTTTACATCGGACCTTATCAGACCTCTGTCACAAAACAGACGTTGGGTATCTCTCAAGCCTGCGACGGGGAAATCGTGCGTAGTGAGCCCGCCCACCCAAGCGGCGCTCTCTCCGCGCGTACGAACCGGCTAACGCCGGTCCTCACCCAACCTGCTCCTGCTCCTTCGCAGAGCTTCGTTGATACCCACTGCGTAGACGAGGGCGGATAAATCGGCGCAGAGCCAGGTAGGCCTTATCTTTATTCGGCGCTCAAGCGGAGATCTACTGCAAGGGGGAAAGTGCCACTTGGTCAAGTCCGTCTGAACTCCGCTCGTAACTGGTGGCACGAAGGGTCCAGTAACTCTCCCAATTCTGTTCCCCTCTCTCCTTGCACCTGTATTCTTTGTCCGCTGGCCTAGGAGAGGCTCTTGGCGCGCATTTCGCAACTTTATTCATACATTTTTCCTGCCGTGCGCCCTAGAGACCGCATCTAGCGGAGCTAGGACGAGTGGCCAATCCTAGCCTGTCCTCTGCGGATTGGAGCTCGTGCGATCCACGACCACATACAGTCTGGAGACTACATATCTCGCAATATCGCCCTCATGTCTTTCCGGTCGCCTTGCCTCGCTTTCTGAACGTTCTTCCCAGCTCTGCCATGTCCAATGAGACCCAGAAGGCCGACCAGATAACGTACAGGTTCTACACCAAGCTTAGTCTAGTCGTCCATCATGCTAGGGCAACCTTGGAGGCACCGGCGGAAGCCAAGGTCGACAAGTGGGTAAGCTGAAACCTTCCTTGTGCCCGTACAATTACTCACACATAGTAGTTCAACTTGGAAACCCCAGACCCGGAGATATTCAGGGAGCAGACCCGTCCCTATCGCAGTATCTCGACACTTGAACCTGTACCCGCTTTCCAACTACAAGTCCTCCTGTGCATACCCGACTTGGCGAGCAACCAAGTTCTTGTGTACAACGCACCCAACTCATCGAGGTTCCGCATTGACCCTACACCGACGCATGTCCTACTCGAGTCGTGGGACCTCAGCTTCCGCCCTGAACCGTACCGGAACGACGACCGCTCAGAGATTACACCGCCAACGATATACAAACATGGTATCTCGCTCTTCAGGAGCATCTTCACGCTGCTCCGCATCCTCCCTGCTTGGAAGCTTGCGCGTCGGAGGCGTACAGGAGGCAACCGCAACGGCAATCTCACCGTTGAGTTGCGTCTCGCGGGTCATGGACAGAGTGGAGGGAACGTGCTGGGTTTCGGTGCGTCAATGGCATCGTATGCATGTGTTGGACGACGTGCTTACAGTGCCTCATAGATGCGCCACCGGCGCGAGGGGCCTCGCCGCTTGCGAAGGAGACACACACCTTCGCGTCGATCACACACCCGACGGGGAGCCTCTCGCTGTCTGTAACATACCTGACGGCACCACGCTTTGAGATCGATGCTCTGGAGTCCTTGCTGTCTTCTAGGCTCCTGTCCGACGAAGGACCGGACTTCACGCCCACGCTAATCAAGAACCAGCAACGCGACTCGTTGTCGACATCCCCTGGTAGTCTGCCCATGCGCACATCATTACCACGTTCTCCCCCATCGGCATCATTAGCAGAACGGTTCGTCGTGGCACCGCCCGTAAGTGCTCGGACAACCTCGTTCCCCACTGTCGGCAGCAGTGGTAGCCCTCGCATGCAGAATGTGGCGCTACCTTCAGTACGGCGTCTCTCTAACGCAGGCATGGGTGCAGCTGGCTCCACGTCAGGTTTGTCCGATGAATCGTCATCTCGACATGGCGCAGGTTCTATTGGCTCAAGAGACGAGGGTGCAGGCGCGTCCGTGTCAGGTGCTCGATTTCGTAAGGAGAGTCTTCGAGGTACAGTGAGTAGATCCTACTACTGTTACGCACGTTTAATGAACGTCCGTCCGTCAGGAGTACACGTCGGCTCAGGGGCCGGTGACAATACGACGACCAGTCAACCCTATCAATGCCTTCAAGTCGTCTACGTTGTCTTCAGGCTCACCGTCGATGCATTCCCCTTCACCATCGCTAAGGCAGAACTCACCACTGTCTGGCGGACCGTCACTCCCATCACGTCCTCCATATACATCGCCGACTTCTTCACGGGCAAGTGCTGTCCCGTCGACATCTAAGACACCGGGGTCTCCAATGTTT